TCGGGTGTCAGCGCCGCAGGCCTAGGTAGATGTATGCCAGGCGCGTCGCAGCGTAACAGTGTTTCGTGAGATATCGCGAAGCCTGTTACGCGAGACGTGGTCTGGCGTACATCTACCTAGTTTAGCCCGCCCTTCTGCTTTGAAAAAGCTATCTAGCGGGCTTATGCAAACGACCTCGTGTGTGTCTGTCTGTCTGTTCCACTAGAAGGAGATGTGCTAGAGACTTCAAATTTTTTAGGGTATCTTAAAGTTCACTCCTAGAAAACGAAACGCCGACGGCAAATCCTGGCAACTACCCCTAAAGGGCTTAAAGGGGGGCATCAAAGAAAATGGGGTAGGTCAAAGTAGAGTCCTGCGACCGAAATTTTGGTCCGTTTGGCCCTATCTCTAATCGTTTAGTCGCTTGAGGGTCTTTTTTTTTTTGACGAAAATAAGCTTAAAATTGCTCTAGTGAACAATAAGTTGTAGAAGGCCCAAAACCGCAAAAAAGGAGAGAAACTCTCTCCCCCCCTCCAACCAAAAAAAAAACGTTTTCTAAGCAGTTGTAGAAAAAGGCCCCAAAAACGCAAAATAGGAAAGAAACTCCCTCTCCCTCGACCCCAAAAAGCGTCTTCTAAGCAGAAGGGTGGGTTGTAGTCGCGTTGCTTCACCGTTACATCCCTTTCTCGAGTCTTTGGGGCAAACTCAAAGACAACGGGTTTAAGCCCGAAGGCCCGCTACATCATTCGATGATGTTCTTCAGCAAATCGCGTGACAGATATGGTCGGGCCGCAGGCCCGACCATCGCCGCCGGCAGGCCAAGCAGGCCCGGCCCCTTCCGAATGGAGTTCCCGGCGGAGTAAAGCGGAGCTGGCAACTTCGTTTGGCGGAAGGGCGGGCCTGCTTGTTACAATACTTCTTGCTTTACACCAAATATGCGTTAAAACCGTTACCGTTACATCGTGTCTACGGGGCAAATTTTAAGGACGACGGGTTTTTGCGGGCCGAAGGCCCGTTACATCATTTGATTATGTTTTTTAGCAAATTGCGAGACAGACGGCCCGACCATCGCCGCCGGCAGGCCAAGCAGCTCCACCCGCTACGTTCGGCACTTTTTGGCGTGGCGAGAGTAGCTGTCGGCCAGCGCCGACCCGGCCGGACCCGCGTACAGGTGACTTCGGCACTGTCCGCCTGGTGACTGCTGCCGCCACGCCAAGCCACAGCACCGCAGCTCCACCCGTGAAATGTCGCTCTCTCTCGCACACCTCAGGCGGCGGGTGGAGCGCGCCCGCCCGATGCACATCTCTGCCAAGCAGGCCCGGCCCCTGCCGCAGGGAATCGCCGGTGGGGCGAAGTGAAGCTGGTGACTTCGTTCAACGGGAAGGTGGGCCTGTTCGTTTTAAAATTAAAATTCTTTTTCAAAGCAGGATAGCAGGGTGTTGCCTAGTCACGGTGTGTCACTGTTCTATTATTTTTTTAGCCCACCCTTCTGCTTTTAAAAAAACTATTAAAGCGGGCTGATACAACCGCTCTCGTGTCCGTCCGTCCATCTGTCTGTCGTCTGTGTAAGAGAAAGGAGATGAGCTAGAGGTCTTCAAATTTAAGGGTATCTTACGGGACACGACTCCTGGACAACGAAACGCCTGGTGCAAATCCTGGCAACAATCCCTAAGGGGGTGAAAGCATGAGAGTAGAAGGGGATGGAGAGGCAACGACGGGCGGGCCAGGGCCTGCACGGCCAAATGTGCGGCTCATTTTCTCCTAAACGATTCCACCTATTTAAAATCCGAAAGCAGCATCTGATAGAGGAAGGTCGATTGTATGGCCGCGTAAAGTTTCAGCTCGATCCGTCACCTCCTTCTGCCTCAACGCCGCGCTGTCCGCCGCGCCGCGGTCATTCGGCAGGGCTCGGGGCGGGTTCGGGACGCCTGCGCTAAG